TCTCCAGTGGAAATTGAACTTGTACTCAACCGCTTGGGGGTGCGACAACTTCACCACTTCACTAAGTCGCCACACCCCTGTAACCTATGATTTTTATGAGATTTTAAATTATATATTAATTCATATTTTTGATCAATTGTATTTATATTTATTCAAATTGGCAAAATTCTTAAATCTAAAGAATTACTGATTCCCGTACAACAATATGATCTGCAGAGATCACATCTTTACAATAAATATTCGTATAAAATCTAGTAATACAATTCATATGGGAACCCTCACAGCAAAAGGGTGCAATAGGCCAAAAATTTTAAATTTGTAATTTTATAAAAATTGGAAACTGATTGTTCTAATTCTTCAAAAAATTAAGTTTAAAAAAAAATTTTTTTTTGGCCCATTGCACCCTTTTGCTGTGGGAGTCCCATATATGCATTGAGAAAATTACGGTACTAGTGATTCTACTATTACGTTAGCGATTATGAAAGTAGTATTAATTGGAAGTGTTTGTTGTCTAGTTCAAATAATATAAACTCTGAAATTTAAATATATATATTTGATATAAATAGTTTACATACTACACATTAATAATAATGATATATATATTATAGATGCTTGACGACATTATTTTTTAATTGACGAATAGTTTCATTATTTTGCGATTGTGCCAAAAATTTCATATAAACACCAAGAAATTTTTTTATAAACTTAGACAGCATACTCTTTAGAATAATATTTTAATTCAAAATTAATTTTACCACTAATAATTATAGATCAAAATAATTTTGTCGGATTTAATTTCGTCTACTAATAAAATCTATTTCGTCAAATATCACTAATATATATTAATAAAAATCTATATCAGTAAAATTTTCGATTGAAAATATCAATATATTAATTTCATGCGTGATCATTATATTTGATTACCCATTTGATCATTATTTATGGTCGCTATGATTGCTTGCTTGATCGTTCTATGTACGATCACTGCGCTTGCTTAATCGCTATTTAATCATTATGCATAGGTCATTATGCTTACTTGATAACTATGCTTGCTTGATGCTTGCTTGAACTATTTCATAGCCATTATGTATGCTTGATCTCTTTATATATGTAATCTTTATGCTTGATTATTATTTAATCTTTATGCATAGTTACTATTGAAAGAAATTTTATATCAGTTTAATTATCCAGACTTTAATCACAGTAAATCGCAAAATTTTGTATTTTTAATAATGCATGATAATTATATGCAATTATCTTATGCAATCATTATATATCGTTAAACAAAAAAGATAAATATATTAAGTTTCACCACTTATAAATGCATCAAGCCCATAAAATTAATTTTTATCGTTTTTTTTAAAATAAAAAATAAAAAAAAACTATTTTATAACAATAAATTACTAATCTGTTATCACACCATATTCCTAATTTCGAAAAATGAAATCCACTACTAGTATGCACATACCACTCCAGTATGGTTATATTTCGATCCACCTGTTGAAGACAAATCAGGTAAAAAAAAGACTAAATGTAAGCTATGCATGGAAAAAAAGTACCTTACTGTAAATAATAGTGGTACTTCTAATTTGCGTAGCCATATTATCAATATCTATAAAAAAACATTCCAATTGTGATCTATTCTGTAGAGTTTGCTGCTTGCTTTTCTCAGTTTAGTGAAGGTCTT